GGTATTCTACTCATGCATTATTCTTCCTTCTCAGGAGTCTTTAGAAGTTACTCTTTATGAAGATGAATTCCATTTCTGAGAAACATAATTCCCCTCTTAGAATTTCCATGTAGAATTTTGGCAAAAGTTTTATCAATGTAAGTAACCTTAGATCATACAAACCCTAGCAATTAATCAATCGGAATCAAGACACCAACATTCCTATTGTCGTGCAAGATTCTAGTGCTCATTCAAGATTAGTCAAATAAAAAACGAACTTTAAAAATTAAAACGTATTAATTGTATAACTTGAAACATGAACATCAATTACAATAAAGCATAAAACATTGTTAGGAACCCATTAGTTCCATCTCACCCTAATTACATAAAAGAATCTAGCCTAGCATTGTCATGGAAGCAAGCATAGAACAGAAAAGACAAATAAAAATCATAAAGAAAACTTAGCAGATGGGATCCACGGTGAGTTATTGCTTGATCTCCCCTTTTCTCCCCTTTGAAAAAGGTCTCCTTACTCTCCAAGAAGCCTCTAGCCGCACAAGAATGAATAGAAAGGCCTTAGAGTGTGTTTTTTATAAGAAGAAAGTCCATAGGCTTTTTTTTTCAACGCTGCTCATTGGTTTGCTTGATGCACCATCAAGATAAATCGAGCAAACCGTCGAGATAAATTGACCAGCTCGATGGTTTGCTCGATGAATCGAGCACTTCGTCGAGATAAATTGTCCAGCTCGATGGTCTCTTCGATCCATCGAGCAAACCATCGAGCAAACAAGTAAAATTGGCTATTTGGATATTTTCTGGTCGAATAGTTAGCAGGAGTAAGAAACTTGGCGAAATGCAACGTAAAATCACTCCTTTGGCTTCCTTTTAGCTTGAGACTTCCTTCGGCTCCTTGATCCACTAATGTTCCGATATGGCGATTTTGACCTGAAATTGATACTTTTTTAAGTCAGTATTTTACCAAGCACAAAAATTAGAAAAGTCTTTTGCATCTAACAATATTTGATATATCTTTAATCATTTACATCAATATATTTATCATACTTTTAGCCTGAATAACATAGTGTGTTTTACACCTATCATATATCCTATAGTTCAGAAAAAAGTTGTGAAGAATCATCCCCTCCACTTATTACTGGGACAAAACATCCTTAAATATTTAATGTTGGGTATGACTCATACTTCGCATGCTGATGAGAGCCCTAGTTGTCGGGCTCAAAACATCCCCCAGGCCCGTAGAGGCTAGGTACTGTTGTGGGCCTCTGTTTTATTGTAATTTTCTTAGCAGTTTGGGCTTGGGCCCATGAATAGCTGCTGTTAGGATTTTCTAATCCTATTTATATTTTCCTTGTAAACCGAGAGACTTGTAACGAGTGGCGGTAAGGTGAATATAGTACAGACAAGCTGGACGTAGCCTATATTGGGTGAATCAGGATAAATTGTTGTGTCTATTCTCTCTCTCTTTTTCTTTTTCATTTTCAATTTGTGTTATTGTCGATTTCCAACATTTAAATTGTCCAATAAATTGACTAACTGTTTATTCTTTCGTTTACATTTTTTCCTAGGTTGAAGTAAACTTTTTTTAAACATATTTGCATGTACGTAATAAACCACAAAATGTTTTTGTTGTATAACATGTTCTACAGGTATAACTAAATTAAAACTGGAGAGCATTGAGTATTAAATCATATAGCTTGTTGACTAAAGGGCTGCTAACTATATTTCCAAAAAAAAAAAAAGGGCTGCTAACTATTAATTGAAGGCAAGAAGATACTACAAATGCACATGGTGGTGAGAGCACAAGGATTTTCCGTTATTGTCCCCTTATATGTATAGTATTTCAGGGGCCTTGCGTTATCTTTCATTAAACAAGTTGACTATAATATTTTAAAAAGAGAACCTCAATGAGAGTCAATTTTGTTTGAGCGTGGAACATTCACGTTACAGTGGAAATAACTCTTCCAGTAGAAAACAAATAAATATACTTTTGAAACTCATCCCATGAGATGGGTAACTTGTTATCGCATATTCATAGGACAAGTTACGTTATGTTCTCGCAAGGAGAATTGGATAAGATCCTTTTTTTCAATAAGCTCCTCACTCTTATTTTCTCACCATTTTTGGATACATCAACTAATAAATATCAAAATAAATTCTAAAAGAAATATTTTTTTTTTTAATTTTTTCGTACTTTGAAAATATTTACTTGTGTAATTATAAGTTTTCATATTTTTATGTTTGTATATGGGTGTGCATGATAACCTTTTCGGAATCAAATTTTTTTTAATTTCAGTTCCCGGGAACAGAAATGGATAGAAAACTCGTTTGATAAAACTGATTTATTTTTTTGTTCCCGAGATGAATCGGTTTAATTTTTGTGCTGGGGAACAAAAAACAAAAAACAAAATGAGAAACAATTATCTCTCTCAATCACTCTCCACCTCTACCTTCATCACCACCACCATCATCCCGACACGACTAACGCTACCATCGTCGCCGCCGTCATCGTACCACCAGTGCCATCGTCACCACCCCTCACCACCGCCACTATTACCACAACCTCCACCTATCACTACCACCATGCCACCGTCACCACCACCACTATCCCTATCACCGTCACCACCGCTATCAACCACCACCATCATCGCAACCACTGCCGTCACCGCCACCATTGCCATCACACGCCACTGTCACCACCCTCATCACCACCACTACCACCACCATCATCACCACTGTCACCAACCACCACTATCATTGCCGCAGCCACTGCCGTCGCCACTATCATCGTCACAACCATTACTGCCACCACCACCACCACCATCGCCACCATTATACCACCCCGCCACTACTATCACCTCGCCATCGCCATCGCCACCACTACCACCACCGCCACCATCACCACCACCACCACCACCATTGTCACGTACCACCACCGCTATCGTCACACCCACTGCCACCACCACCACCACCATGTCACGTACTACCGCCGCCACCGTCACACCCACTGCCACCACCACCACCATGATGCCTTTACAACCACCACCACTATGTCACTGCTACCATTGTTGCCGCCACAAACCACCATACCCATAACACGAGCTGTCGAACTTACGCAAATTAATTTTTTTTTATTAGGGTTCAGAAAATTTGTAGTAAAGTGGAAACCCTAAGTCATCTCTCAAGAAAATTGTTTTTGGTAAAAATCGCTTACGATAACAGAAAATTAAAAGGGGAGTTTTGAATTTTGATTGAATAATTAAAAAGGCAGAATATAAATTTGGAATAAAAATTCGTAATTAAAAATTAACCAACCTAACGTTAGGGTTCCATGGACGTCTTTCCTCGGATAAAAAATGTCAGAATCGTGATTGATTGTCAATTGAATCAGAATCTTTATTTTCAATTGACGGCTCTTTCTAAGCGATCGCTTAACATTTGATCAAATACGGTGCTTCTACTCATACAATTGCAGAGTATCAGCCCGTTTGATTTAAGGTCATAGGGTCAATCAATCTAATCATCAAATCTGATGATTAATCCCTTTCCATAATCACAATCGCGAACCTCAAATTAAATATCCACGATTGCATGATATCAATCTGAGTTGGGAAGGGAAACAAAATTGATTTACAATAAAATGCAGACCCTCAAGACTAATCCATGTAATCCGTTACCTTAGGTTGATTGAAAAGTTCTTAGCCTCGCATGGCTAAGATAAACATGATTAAAATAAAATAAGAAGAAGAAGAAGAAAAAGATGAAGAACGCTTCAGAGAAAGTGCTTTGATCCCAGAATTCAAAAATTACAGAATCCCTAAAATGTTTTCTACTCTGCCGTCATATACCCCTACCCAAAGTGGGTTAGGGTTCAGTTCTGATCGGTCCATCTGTCTAAAATACGAAATAAAATAAAATAAAACTAAAACTTGGCTTTGGGCCACTTAAGTAACTGGGTTTTAATTTAAATTACAAGTCCAATAATAAAATAAAAATTCAGCAAAACGCGTCTGACTTGGCGTAAGAAATCGACCAGCTTCCAGTCCGAATTGGGATTCGAACTCTCATAAGAATTGTAGCCCTCTGTGTTATATGAAAAACCCAACAAGAACGGAGTCAATCCGACAATTGTGGACCGAGATATGGCTAAAAAACAGAAGTAACGTAGAGCTGAAAAATTCTGACGAAAATAAATTAAACCCAATCAAAAACTAAAAATGTAAATTAACTCGAAATAATCATTATTGTATTCAAATAAATCCTAAAAATACTAGTCAAGAGTAACAAATAAGTGTAATAAAATATGAGTTATCAACCCACCACCATTGTCGCAGCTACTGCCATCACCTCCACCACCACCATCCCCACCACTACAACCGTTGCCGCCACCATTACCACCGCCATTGTCGCAGCCATTGTCGTCACAACCACCACCACCACTATCTTCACCACGTTACTGCCACTACCACTACCGTACCGCTGCCGCCACCACCACCATGCCACCCGCCACTACCACAACCACACCATATGGAAAGGAAAGTGATGATCCAATTTTTTTTTATATTTAATAGGAATTATTTTTTATTATATTATTTATTGTGTTATCAAACACAATTCTTATTCTTGGAATAAAAATAGAACATGTTATCAAACATATTTTTTTTCTCAGAAACTGTTCCAAGGCATAAAAATAGAAAAGAATTGTTTCTTTTCAGAAACAGTACTAGGGAATAGAATGATTGTCATGCACACCCTATATAGCCATGTATATTTATTTTAATACATTGATGTAAAATTTTAAAATAATCACTTATATTTAAATATTTAAATTTTCTCCCCATTTTATTTTTTGGATCAGGTAGTGAACATGAATGCCATAGAAAGTTAAATTGGAGATAAAGCACTTAATAATGTTATTTAAAAAAGAACCAACTAGTAAAGGTCTTGTTATGAGTGAAGCCATGGATCCAAAGTTCCCAGTGAGAATCCATGAGATGGCACTCACTTCATAATGATCCCTGATTATCTTTTTCGCGGCTAGATTTCTGAAGCATCTCTACAACTTGGCTCATGGTGGGCCTCTTGTCCTTCTCTTCCTCCACACATTGCAAAGCCACTCTCGCCAAAGCTTCCATCTTACTTTCGTCATAACCTCCTTCTATGGTGTGGTCTAAGATTTCATGAACCCATGCAGAACCTTCATTCTGTTTCTCTTTCAGCCACGTGACCAGGCTGAGACGCTGCCTCTCTACTCCATAAGAGGTATGAATGTCCATTGTTGCGCTCTTTCCCGTGACCATTTCCAAGATAACAATCCCGTAGCTATAAACATCAACTTTGGAGGTGATTGGTTGATTGAAAGCCCACTCAGGAGCCATGTAACCTCTGGTTCCTCGTATCCTTGAAAAACTAGAGTATTTAGTTTCATTTCTGCTCCGCAGCTTTGACAGCCCAAAATCTGCAACCTTTGGCTGATAATTAGAATCAAGAAGTATATTGTGGGGCTTTACATCACAGTGCAGAATCCACTCCAAGCACTCCTCATGGATATAAGCAAGACCTTTTGCCGTGCCTAAGGCTATGTCAAACATTTTTGTCCAATCCAATCCATTAGACTTGATATTTTCTGCTAGAGATCCATGCTCCATGTACTCGTACACAAGTAGCCTGTGTTTTCCCTCAGCACAATATCCCCACATCTCAATCAAGTTCATGTGGTTAAGCCTTCCGATGATGCTTACTTCCGCAAGGAAATCTTCTTCTCCTTGATTAGCTTCCTTCAGTCTCTTTATTGCTGCAACTCGTTGATCAGACAAGACACCTTTGTATACAATCCCTCCTGCACCCCTTCCGATCTCTTTACTAAAACCTTCGGTGGCTTGTTTCAGCTCAGAATAACTGAATTTTCTAAAGCCAGCTAACGCCCGACTATAAACTCGTGCATCTGCAGAAAGTTGCCTTGTCCTTAACAAAAAATACCAAACCAGAAATATGCACAAAATTTCAAGTCCACCCACTCCTGCTACAAACCAGAGCATGAACTTAACATATCTGTTTCCATGGTCTATGGCATACGCTCTTTCGAGTTGTATTATTTTTGAATTAGCGGAACAAGAAATACTGTACTCATCTATGGACTCCTCGTCATAAGAATATGAACTGCTTGCTGGCAGTCTCAAGTACAGATCAGCACTAAAATCTGGTGTACGATACCCATTCCATAACTGCAACTTCGGATAACAGGTATAAGTGCCAGGACCATATTCATAGCTATACTGGATACCTTTACAGTCGCACAATTGCAAGCATAACTCCTTACACTGATCAAGTGTGTAATTTGCCATGGCCCCGTAGTCATAGCCATATAACTCCACGTTGGTTATAGATATAAAGCGAGACTCGGTTTTGTTGCAAGTAAAAGAGAATTTTGGTTCACACCCATATGCCCAATCCCCATCATTCGTCATCTTATAGCCTGGAAGACAGGAGCATTTGATGCCAGAAACAACATTATATAAGCACAAACTGTTGGGGCCACAAATGCCATGAATCCTGCATGGCCTTGACGTCGCTTGCCATGTAGTAGACCATTTCTCTCCTCCGTGTCTCCGACTGTAAACACGGATATTTCCATCATAATCAACAGTGAATCTTCTTTGGATCACGGTCCCATAATCAGATGTCATAAAAGTGAGTTCATCTGATGAACTGAAATTGCCAAGGGTATCCAGCACTGCAACTCTACTGTTGTTGTAACTTTCTCTGTTAGCCTGCCAAGGGGCCAGCCAAGGATCTGGCCAGTAAAGGCCTGAAACTTCAGGACCATCATAGAGAAGACGAAGAATATTATCACTGTCGAAAAACAGTGAATAGAAACCCGAGGACTTGTTAGTGTCACTTCTTGAAGAGACTAGTTTTGCATGTCTGGTGAACACTTGTTGTGGAACAAGTGTATCTGTAGGGAAATCAAAGCTTTGCCACAGGATGACACCATCACCCACACGCAGAACAAGGTTACCAACATCGTTAAGAGACAGATGTACGGAGGACAATGAAACAGTATTTGTGGACCAAACGAGGGATCCATCTGCATCCGTTAAGGCGAGATTACCATTGTCAAGTAGGGAAAGCTTTGAACGCTTCCCGTTGACGGGCTGGTCACGGTTTGCCATCCATACCGCCGTAGCGTTTTGGGTTTGGCCATTGGATTCGGAAAACCAAATGGCAAAGGAATAGGCATTGTCACCAACAGCGTAGAAGCCAGCAGAGAACATGCCATTTGGTGAGAGCATGACATCTTCTGGTTTCTCCACTGAGAGGGATGAACCTTGACTGATAGTATCCACAGCTGAAGATGAAAGCTGTAGACACAAAACGAAATGGAAGAGGAACAACCATAAGGTCGATATAATACCCATGGAATCTCCCAAAATGCAATTTCTATTTGTGCAAAGCTAGAAGGATCTCTTATGTTACTAGCACTGATCAACATCCATATAAATACTGTACAAAAGTCTACTTTGAAAATCGCCGCCAGATTCAAGTTGTATTTCATTTGAATTACTATTCCATGCATCCATTGACTATTTACCTAGCTAGATATATAAATCAAGTGACAAGGATATTTTATCTACATGAATATTTTTTATAAGGATTTTGTGTACAACAAGTATACCAGTCGTACAAGTGGTAAAGTGATGAAAAAAATTATCGTTCGCACGAGGATTAGTGACTCAAAACACTATTTTTACTATTTCACTTAATTTAGACAAATCAAAAATTGATTGTGAAGAGTAATTTTTTATAGTGCTTGCAATTTCTCATGTTGCATGAGAAATTCAAGTTTTCCTACAGAGGGATAAAGGAGTGGAGTCCACTTTAAAGTAAAAAATAAAAAATAGAAAAATGATTGGCACGGACATCGAAGTGAGAGTGGTAGGAGTGGAGACTTCTTATGCAACTTGAGAAGTCTTTTTCCCTTATTTATATTAAAGAAAAGCCTAATTAAATAAAACAAAGAACAAATATCAAGCAACAATTAAGTGCAAGAAAAGAATTCTAAAAATTAAAGAAGAGTAGTAAATCAAGAATGAAACATACAGTTAGGGTTTACTTCACCTCCGATCCCCTTAAGTGATTTAACTTAATTCAATAATTTCTATCTCTATTGTTCCAAACAATTCATCATTTAAGAGGTAATTAGTCAAATCCTAATCTCTTATAAACCCCTTTTAGATTAAGCCTTACGCGCGATAAATTACACTAGTTTACAATTGCTACAAGTCTATGTCTAGATCATGCAAGAATTGGTGTTTATCTCTGTCTAGATTAAGATCCCAATATATCTATTAAGAACCCTAACCTCTTTATTCCTATATGGTTGGCCAAATAATATAAGAATTTAAACAAGTAACTCAAGATAAACACAAACAAGTTGAGACAGGTTATTATTGAAAGAAAGTTAAATCAAAACAAGGATTCACGTCAGATTCATATCCCTAACTACAAAGGAAATTAGCCAGTCACAAATTAGGTGTTGATGGATCTCAACGATGACGTGGACAACTGGTAACCTTGGCGTTTATAGCGCCGCTATGTTGCTAACAACGTGGTGATATATAGGGCAATACAATTGATGGCGCTAGTAGTGCTAGCTTGCTAACAAATTTTGTTGTTTTTCCTTGCTTCTTCTTAAATTCTCTCTTGGACCTTTTTTCAATGGGCCAAAATCCTTACAAAAACACAAGAATTTCATGAAAATAATCCTGAGAGTGAACAAACAATTTAATAAAAGTTCTCATGTCTTTTGGTTACATTTAGATTAATTATATGCTCAATTTGACCCTTAATATGTAGTAAGTTGGAAGCTCATCACTTTGTTTTATAGATTATCATCTTTAGTAATTATCTTTAATTGAAAGTCTTTACTTTTCTAGAATAGGATGGCAATTGAACCAAACCTAACAGAAACTATTCCACAAGAATTTATGAATTGATAAAAGAATTATATTGTCGCACTTTTTTATGTGTGGATCTAACACATCCTTCACAGCTAGCTATTTGGTATAAGAATAATAAATTTTATATTAAATTTTGATCATTAATGCACTTGTATCCAATGACATATATAATTAAAAAATTAGAGTCGTTAGATATAAATAAAATCAATAAACAGGATTAAAATATAACTTATACTAATATAAAATGATTATGATTCTATAAAATATATGAAAGTGTGATGTTATGAATTAAGAAACTGATAAAGTGTGTTTAATATATACAATTTTTTTTTAACTAGACATCTTTTTAATTAGGTATATACATTCTTAACAACTAATTAGTTATGCACCTGGGTGACTGACTTAGATTGGCTTAAATTTAGACAAGCAACTCGAAATGAGCTTCTGAACAAGACATATCGTTTTTCCATGGGCATAAATAGTTTTGAGCTTTTCCATAGTTTAGGGCTTTTCAATAGTTGTTAAGTATTTACCTTTTTTGCTATTATTAGATTATGTTTGAGTGTGCGTTGATTGTATGTTATCTCATTTGATTGCGCATGATTTCTTTTGATTCCATTTCCTTTTATTTTCATTTTATTTTTCCTATTTAAGGTTTGGAGAACCCTATTATTAGTTGGTTGTTTTTGGTTAATAAATTTCAAAAAAGAGAAATAATATTTTCTTGCACTTCTTGTGTTCGTTCTTCTTTCTGTTTAGCCAATTCATTACTACTTTGACATTATTTTATAATCAGAGCTCTGGTTGTCACATAAGTGGCTGAACAAAACAATGATGGATTAGGTGACAAGGGTTGTAGATGGCATGGTAACACCCTTAATGGCGATGTGAACAACCACACATTGATGCGCGAGCAATTGTAGCTACAATGGCAAAACAAGGTAGACTAATTCAGGAGCTTGAACAACTGCTTGCCCTGACATAGTTGGACGATTCAAATGAAGGAAGCTAGTCCAAAAGATCATCTCATTTAGAAGAAATGAGCGAAAACCCATTATGGAACCAAGAGTGACAAGGACGAAGTCAACCTAGCAATCAATCTTTTTTTGCTAATATTGGGTGAAGATTGAAATCCCGAAATTCGAGGGCACCACTCATCTAGATGAGTTTATCGACTGGTTACACACTATCGAAGGGGTCTTTGACATCAAAGACTTGATAGAAGACCAGAAGGTCAAACTGGTGTTATTAAATCGAGAAAGCATCAAGTAGCGAGACCTATCAGTTGAATAGTATACAGTTGAGTTTGATCGTTTGCGGATACGCTGTGATATCACAGAGGAGGACGACCAATTGGTTGCTCGTTACCTAGGAGGACTATGGACTGAGATCTCAGATGTTGTATACCTGCAACAATATTGATCATATGAGGACGTGTTCGACTAGCTTTGAAGGTAGAGGGGTAGTGTAAGAGAAAAGGAAGTACTTCAAAATTCCAACCCAGATTTTCTGACAGAAAAGTTATCAAGCTCAACAGCCAACACTAGTGCGGGGAAGGAACCTTCTAATTGGAAACTAGTGAGTAAGGGGGAACGACTAATGGTAAAGAAAGCAAGACAGGGACTACAGCGAAGAGGTGTTTCAAGTTCCAGGGCTTAGGACACTTCGCTGCTGATTATCCAAACCGGCAGTATGTCACTATTATCAATACTCCAACCAATGATATATGCCCTCACCTATGACGAGTATGAAGAAGATAAGGTGGATGAAGGATATGAAGAAGGTGAGATTATTTATGGTGATTCAGGTGAATCCTTGAATATTGGAAGGGTGTTGAATGTTGACATCATTGACGATGAGTAGTGGCACCAACACAATATATTCTGCACCAAGTGTACCAAAGGCAGTAAGGTGTGTAATATGATCATTGTTGGAGGAAGCTGCGAGAATATAGTCTCTAACACCATGGTCGAGAAGCTAGTATTGAAAAAGGAGGAAATCCCACAACCGTACAAGCTTTATTAGCTAAAGAAGTGAAGTAAGGTGAAGGTGAACAAGAGGTGTCTCGTATAGTTTTCTATCGACAAAAAGTATACTGATGAGTGTGGTGCGATGCGATTCCGATGGATAGGTGTTATATCTTGTTGGGGAGGCCATGTCAATTTGATAAGAAGACGAAGCACGATGGCTTAAAAAATACTTACACTTTCAAGAAGAATGGACTAACTATTGGGTCCATCTGAATTGAAGGAGGAGGCGAAGAACAATATATGTCCAGGGTAGGTTCCAAGGAGGAATCTGCCAATGCCATTGAGATATTTGCTTGTGTGGTGATGGAACAAAATTCTGGTGTTTCTAACATTCTTTTGCAGGTTAAGCCATTGCTAGAGGACTTCGTTGATGTGGTCCCTGAGGAGATATCATCAGAACTACCACCTATGAGAGACATCCAGTACTGTATTGACCTTGCGCTAGGAGCTGTCATTCCCAACAAAGCTACATATAGGATGAGCACTGATGAGCTAAAGGAGTTACATTCACAGGCTCATGATTATATTCATAAGATGAATGTGATATATTAGGCATAAAAAACAAGTCATTTTCAAGGAAGGCAATATGGTGTGGATCCACCTTAGGAAGGAACATTTTCTAGCTAACAGGATTGACAAACTATCTAGAGCTAATGGTCCCTTCAGAGTGCTCGAGAATATCAACAACAATGCTTACAAGATTGACTTTTTTGGGGAATACAGTATTTTTAGTACTTTCAATGTTGCTGACTTGTCTCATTATCATGATGACAAGGAGGGCATAACAGACGAGAGTAACCATGAAGACCCATTAGATTCGAGGACGAATCTTCTTTTGGCAGCGGATGATGATGCACCTGGATGACTGACTTGGATTGGCTCAAATTTGGACAGGCAACTCGAAAAGAGCTCCTGAGCAAGACCTATCGCTTTGCCATGTGTATCAATAGTTTTGGGCTTTTTCATAGATTATTTCATAGTTTAGGGCTTTTCAATAATTGTTAGTTATTTACCTTTTTTGCTATTATTATATTATGTGTGAGTGTGTGTTATCTCATTTAATTGTGCATGATTCTTTCTGATTCTATTTCCTTTTATTTTTATTTTATTTTACCTATTTAAGGTTTGGAGCAAGGTAGTTAAAATCGAGATTTTGCGTAAAATCGGAAGGGAGATAAAAAATCATAAAACGTAAAATCGTAAGTAAAACAATCATAAAAAATTGTAAAAACGTAAAAGCATTTGGAATATTGGTAAAATTATTTTGATGAAAAAAATAGTAAAAACATAAAATCGTAGTGATAAATCGATATTTTAAATGCCATGGTTTGGAGAATTCTATTGTTAGGTTGTTATTTTTGGTTAATAAAATTTAGAAAAGAGAAACAATATTTTCTCGCACTTCTTGTATTCGTTATTCTTTCTGTT